GTGTTATACTCATTGTGAAAAACCTTCAATCTAGGCCTAAGTGTTGTAAAGGCTAGATTGGCACTAAGTGTATTGGGCTTAATACTTTAGTGGAAATCCATCTGAAATAGGGTGGGACTGGATGTAGGAGGATTACACCACCTCTGAACCAGGATACATCGTGTGTTGATTTACTTTCATACATACAGAACACACACCAAACACATCTCACTAAAGGTTTGTAGTTTGCCAGCAGCATCCTAAGCAGTAGTCTTCATCGACTCTACTGCTTCGCCTACTGCTTAATAACTCACTCTCCTTGAGAGTGTTTTCCACTAGAAGTTGTCTTAAACTCAGAAGGTAACTCAGCAGTACACTGGTCTTCACCCTCCTGCTGAGCCCACTGCCCATCCAAACGTGTCTTTCCAAAACCCATAACAAGCCAGAACAAAAAGCCATCCAAGAGTCATCCTAGTCCTCAGCGGTTGCCTCAGCAGTAACCTGCCTACCAGCCAACTGCCAACTCAGCAGTTGCCTGCCAGTCAGCAAACTGCCTGTGCAGCAGTAGCCTAAGCAGTCACCTGCTCACCAGCCTACTTCCAAGCCTACTTCTTCTCGTAACCAGTCTAAACATCATCCAAACTAGAAAGTTGTCACACACTAAGTATAAAGAGGGTAAAGACTTCCGCTGTGCATCTATTGATCTCTCAAAAGATTATAGATCAATCCATCTAGAGGGAAAAACTTCAAAAAAGTTGAAAAAGACTTAAAAGTCTATTCACCCCCCCTCTAGACTTTTACCCTATCCGGGACCATCACAAGATAAAAACACAAAGACCACCAAGGGTAAAACATGAGTTTTAATGCTCAAATTACAACTATCATCTTGGGTTTAATGGCCTTCTAGTGCTCATCTTCTCTTCTCCTCCTCTCTTCTTCTTCTTTCTGAATCTTCTTATTTTCCAAAGAGATCAAATGAGTGCCTGCAAAAACAACATATTTCTCTCATATCTCTCATTTTGCCTAGGAGCCTTTTCAGGTTTTCATCCTAGCATCTCTTTTCATTTTCCATTCTCCCCACTCACTCATTTTTTTATATAAGCCATTTTTGCTTAGATTGCCCAAATCCAAAAAACCCTACCCCATTCGAATATTTAACTCTTTGAGCCCAAAAGCTTCACAAATGGCTCCAAGGAAGAATAGGGGAGAGAGCTCAAGCACCATAGCACCCATCCCGGGCTTTGAAGACATCATTCCCGCCGACGCCGAACACCAAACTAGACTCCTATCAACAACAAAAAGGCAAGTAAAACCTTCCCGTTTTCTATGCCATGATGCTCTACATGAATTAGGAGTCTATAAGAGTTGTAGAAAATTCTTTCATGCATTAGACATGGACCGTATTTTCAATATGAAATACAATTCTAATGAACGAATTATCTACGAATTCATGAGTTCGGTGAAGTTTGAAAGTGATGAGGCGGATTTTAGGGATGATAGACTCGAGTTTCGTCTGTTTAACCGAAACTATTCAATAATGAAACTCGAGTTTAATTTGCTGAACATTTTGGCATCCCCGTGCCCTACGAGAGAGCCATCTCGGATAACACCATTTTCGGGCACTCCCTATGGACAAAGATGACCGGGGAAGTGAAATTTAGTTCCTCCCAAATGTACATTAGTCATGTCCAACACCCCGTTCTCCGGTTGTTCTTGAAATTCTTAGCAAATTGCTTTCTTGGCCGCCCCAACAACCATCACACTAGAATCGGGGACGTTTGTTTGATGTCCGTAGCCTTATTCCGTCGCCACGCGGACTTTAATCTGTGCAATCTTATGTGGGCACATTTGAAGAAGGAAAGCTTGGCAAAAGGGGCCATTGTTGTGGGTGGGGTAATTATGCACTTGGCAAGTAGGTTCGGGTATACGGATAACTCTCCTGTACCCGACTATTGCTTGATGGATATGGGTTGGTTAGGCCGTTCAGGTTGCACAGCTTTTTCTCATACGGTTTATGTTGGGGACCAACCGAAAAACATGTATAACTGGATCATCCACTTCCAACCTGTCCAATACTTCCTAATGCCAAGCCCACACATCCCCAAAATAGTCTACAGACCGGAGTTCGAGGTGCCTCACTACCTATTCCCTCACGCCCTTCCACCAAATCTCCAAGAACCTCAAGCCCAAGATCTACCCGAAAACCAACCCAACCAAGAACCTCAACCCGAGCAACAAGAACCCGAGGATGCATCTCACCACATGCCCGAACAGAACCAAAACCCACCACCTCCCGATTACTTCCAACAACTGCTTGAAGGGTTCAACAAAGTCACCAATGAAGTTGTAAAATATCGGGAGGAACAAAGGGCGGGATTTCAAAGAGTTGAGGAGCAACGGGCCGAAGACAACCGAAGGTATGAAGAAGATCAACGTAGGTTCTATGGACCTATGTACTCTTGCATGGCTCATCAAGGCCAATTCCATACCATGGCTCAACCACCCCCACCCCCCTCTTGGTATGACCCCACTCAATGGGGTAATTTTGGAGGATCTAGCTCCGGGGGTGGAGGTTTTGATGGCGGGGATGACGGAGATACTCACATGGGCGATGGGAGTTTTGGAGGTGGCTTTGGAGGCGGATACTATGGCGGCGAAGGCGGGCACTAGGGACAGTGCTTGGACTGAGAAGGGGGGAGACTCCTCATGGTATGTAATTTCATTTTCTACCCTTTACTATGCATGAATTTTCTTTTACTCTTTGTAAACAAAAACAAAACAAAAAAAAAAGAATAAAAGAAAAAGTAAATGCTAGTTAGGTTGAAAACCCACAAATGGGCAATCTAAGCAAAAATGACTTATATAAAAAAATGAGTGAGTGGGGAGAATGGAAAATGAAAAGAGATGCTAGGATGAAAACTTGAAAAGTCTCCTAGGCAAAATGAGAGATATGAGAGAAATATGTTGTTTTTGCAGGCACTCATTTGATCTCTTTGGAAAATAAGAAGATTCAGAAAGAAGAAGAAGAGAGGAGGAGAAGAGAAGATGAGCACTAGAAGGCCATTAAACCCAAGATGATAGTTGTAATTTGAGCATTAAAACTCATGTTTTACCCTTGGTGGTCTTTGTGTTTTTATCTTGTTAAAATTATTGGAACTCTGGGAAGCTTGACACTTGTGAACATTTAACTTTACTCGAGGACGAGTAAAGAACTAAGTGTGGGGGAGTTGATACGTTTGTAATTTCCGGGTGCTTATTTACGTTTTTAGTTAGTTTTGGTTGTTTAGTATTTCGGAAATTACACACTTTCGGTGTAAGAGTTTAGTTTGTTAAATTCTTGTAAATTGTTTAGATTAGGTTTATTCTGAGCTGAAACAGGTCTACCATCACTCAAAGGACAGTTGGTGAACCCCAAAGGTGGAAGGAAGGTGCAAAATCACAAGACAAAAAAGGAAGATCCTGATTTTGGTCTATACTCGGTCGAGTATTACCTATACTCGATCGAGTATCTTGTTGAAATTTCAAATCGGATCCGATCCGAAAACAAAGGAACATGCAGGGAAGATTTTACCACGATCGAGTGTCTATACCCGATCGGGTACACCGACATACTCGATCGGGTATAGCTATGAATTCTACCCGAATATCGATCGAGTATGGATCGAATTCGAAGTTCTACACATACTCAATCGAGTATATGTATATACTCGATCGAGTACCCGACCTGCTCCCCAAAAAGCCTATAAATACACCTCCTTTCCTTCACTTTTAAAAACCAATTCCTTTATACTCTTAAGCTCAGTTTAGAATAGCATTTCTTTATATTTCTTTTAACATGTTTAGTCTCCAAATGAGGAGCTAAACTTCCATTTCTTGGTGTTGCTCTTGAAGCTTGTTGATTATTAAAGTTGTGAGTTATTTTCTTAACTTCTTTCCTTGAATATTAATTCTTCCTTTAAATACTATTTCTATATCAATGTTGGGGAGTGTTGCTAAGATGACAATTAGTTAACATCTTGACATTGGTCTTAGTAATAGCTATTCCTTCCTCTATGTTAATATTGGGGAGTGTTACTAAGATGACAATTAGTTAACATCTTGATATTAACTTTAGTAGGAATCATTTTCTTTAATATTCTTCCTTGAGTATTAATTAATCCCTATTCATATTTCATATTAATATTTTGAACATTACTTAAAGGATCAACTAGTTTTGTTTCACATATTAATTATTACTAGAAACGATCAACGAACCGATGGTTAATCGTTGATGGTCTCACAAGTAAGTAACTTCGGTTTATTAATGCACGGTCGTGGTTAATAAACTTAAGAGGGATTAATTTTGTTGGTTAAACCAAAACCGTCGTGTTAAGGTTATCAATCTCGATTGATTTCATCAAGGAATTAAAAGATTAAATGCTACTATCAAGTCAGTATATGGCGTTGTTCTATACTTGATTAATAGTAAGGGTTATTAGTGAACTATCCTCGATGAATTGGATATACTCCTCGATTGAGTATTCGAGAGGAGATAAGTTATAGATATAACAGTGATTGACTAAAATATATCAACAAGTGGAAAGTAGCAATGCCAAGTCCCTTTTATCTTTGAATTAAAACCCATATAACTCGTTCATCTTCGTGTTTAATTTTAATCAAATCACTCAATCAAACCCCCCCCCCTTTATTTACTAGTTATATAAAAAGAGAGTTATTCCTTTCCCTGTGGATACGAACTCTACTTCACTATACTACGTATTAGTGCTAGTATTGAATATTATTTTGAGTGCACACGCGACAAAGTGCACGTCAGATGTCTATTGCACCCTCCACGGCACGGCTAAAGACCTTTGGGATGAGTTGGATAGGAAATATAATACTGATGACCACGGTCTGGAAAAGTATATTGTTTCCAAATTCTTGAGATTCGACATGAAAGACGGAAAATCTGTTTTAGAACAAACCCAAGAATTTGAGCTTATCTTATATTCTCTCCGTGAAGCAGATATGGAATTGCCGGAAAAAAAATTAAAGTCATGGCTGTAATTGAAAAATTCCCCAAATCGTGGGAAGATTTTGGTTTGACTTTAAAACAAAAAATGAAAAAGATAACTTGGAAAAGTTTGATGCATTCCATTACTGTTGAGGAAGAACATAAGAAAGCGGGTTATATTGTGCCTGTTGAATTTCAGCCAAAGGCTCATGTTGTAACCGGGGGAAAGCAGTCACAAAATTCTAAAAATAAACAGCCATCATCTTTTAAACCAATAAAGGCCAAATTAAAAATTGCAAAGAAACCAAAGGTAAACCGGCCATGCTGGAACTGTGGACAGATGGGGCATTGGGCAAAATTATGCCCAAATAAAAAGGCTAAGGCTCAATCTGGTGGACCTCAAGTCAACGTGGTGACTGGAGGAACTAGTTCCGATGGGTATGTTTCTATTAACCCTCAAGTTTTCACTATATATAATTCCAATGAGTGGCTAATAGATACGGGAGCGAATGTGCATGTATGTGCTGATAAATCGCTCTTTGTTTCATATCAGCCTGCGGTTGGAAGAACAGTGATGATGGGAAACACAAGTGCTGCTAGTGTGCATGGAGTTAGAAAAGTAGAAATAAAATTTCCTTCGGGAAAAATCCTTACCCTGCATAGAGTGCATCACGTTCCCGAAATTAGAAGGAACATTGTTAGTGGTTCCATTCTAGTTAGGGAGGGTTATGAGTTATCTTTTAAATTTAATAAAGTTGTAATTTTATTTGGTGGACTTTTTATTTGCAAGGGTTACTTGTCGGATGGACTTTTTAAGATTGTGGTTGATTATTTTGAATTAAATTATGTATCTGAGAATTGTGATTCTTCAACTTTATGGCATTATCGTTTGGGTCACGTTAATTTAGATTCTGTAAAAAGAATGATGAATTTAAATTTAATTCCTAAACACTCTATTGATAAAACTAAGAAGTGTATGTTATGTGCTACTACAAAACAAGTAAGAAAACCGTATCATTCAATTGATAGAAATTCTGAATTACTTGATTTAATTCATGCCGACATTTGTGAGTTTAATGGAGTGTTGACTCGTGACAAGAAGAAGTACTTTATCACTTTTATTGACGATTATTCTAAATACTGTTATGTGTATCTACTTAAGGGTAAAGATGAAGCTCTTGAAATATTCTTAATTTTTAAGAATGAAATAGAGAATCAAACTGGCAAGAAAATTAAAAGGTTAAGATCTAATAGGGGAGGAGAGTACACTTCTAATTTAGTTGTACTAGAATGCCAAAAATATGGTATAGTACATGAAGAAACACCTCCTTATTCACCACAATCAAATGGAGTAGCTGAACGAAAAAATAGAACTTTTAAAGATATGATTAACAGTTTATTAGAGAATTATGGATTACCTAAGTTTATGTGGAGGGAAGCCTTGAATACGGCCTGCCATATTCTGAATAGGATTCCCATGAAACATAAAGATAAGTGTCCATTTGAACTCTTGATAGGCAGAAAACCAAGTTTAAAATATTTTAAAGTGTGGGGCTGTCTTGCAAAAGTATTAGTCCCTGAACACAAAAGAAAGAAACTTGGGCCTAAAACTGTTGATGCTATTTTTATTGGTTATGTTGAACATTCTTATGCATTGAGATTTTTGGTTATTAAATCTGAAATTTCTGGCATAGATGCTAATACTATTATAGAACTTCGTGATGCTACTTTCTTTGAAAATGTTTTCCCAATGAAAACAGGTGTGCCCCAAAATATTCCTTTTAAAAATCAAGAACCCACATTTAATTCAATTCCTGATCAAGTGGAAAAGATGACAAATGTGGGGGTAGAGTCTAGTAGTACTAGTCTCGCTAGTTTTGAATCAAACGAACTAGATGAACCTAGAAGGAGTAAACGGGCTAGGATCACTAAGGAATTTGGAAGTGAATTTATCACTTACAATATTGAGGGTGATCCAGTTTCCTTTAGAGATGCCATGGCTACATCTGAAGCCATGCATTGGAAGGATGCCATTAAAAGTGAAATGGACTCCATTGTTCAAAATGGAACATGGGAGCTTGTTGATCTTCCTCCCGGGTGTACTACTATTGGATGTAAATGGATTTTTAAGAAGAAATTAAAACCAGATGGAACCATTGATAAATATAAGGCCAGATTAGTTGCTAAGGGTTACAAACAAAAAGAAGGTATTGTTTTTTTTTATAGATATGCTCCGGTTGCAAGAATGACCACAATTAGAATGCTTATAGCAATGGCCTCCGTATATGGTCTTAAAATTCATCAAATGGATGTTAAGACAGCTTTTCTTCATGGTGACCTTGAAGAAGAAATTTATATGGACCAGCCTGAAGGATTTGTGGCAAAAGGCAGTGAGAGAAAAGTTTGTAAATTAGTTAAGTCTTTATATGGACTTAAGCAAGCCCCTAAGCAATGGAACGAAAAATTTGACAAAATAATTCTTTCGTTTGGTTTTACTCTTATAGATGCTGATCAAAGTGTTTATTATAAATGAAAAGGTGATATTAGTATTATTTTATGTCTATATGTTGATGATATATTATTATTTGGCACTAATGATAATATCATTTTTGAGACTAAGTCATTCTTGAAAACAAAGTTTGAAATGAAGGATATGGGGGTGGCCGAAGTAATTCTTGGACTAAAGTTGACTAGATCAACTGAAGGAATATCTATTTCTCAGTCGCATTATATTGAAAAATTAATTGAGAAATTTGGATTTAAAAATAGTAGAATTGCTAAAACACCCTATGATCCTTCAGTAGCTTTGTATAAAAATGAAAGTGGTGTTCCTGTGTCTCAATTAAGATATTCTCATATGATTGGTAGCTTGGGTTACTTAGCTAACTGTACTAGACCTGATATTGCATTTTCAGTGTCTAAGTTGAGCCGGTACACTTGTTGTCCAAATAGAACTCATTGGGAGGCCTTAGATAGAGTATTTAGATACTTAAAAGGAACTATTTCCTTGTGTTTGCATTACGGTAAATATTCTCCTGTTCTTGAGGGATATAGTGATGCAAGCTGGATAGCTAAGAACTCCGGGAGTTATGGATGTACCGGTTATGTGTTTACGTTTGGTGGTGGGGCCGTTGCCTGGAAGTCCACTAAACAAACAATACTTTCTCGGTCTACTTTTGAGGCTGAATTGTGTGTGTTGGATACTACTGGAATTATGGCTGAATGGTTTATGGGATTAATGTCTGAGTTACCAATATTTAACAAGCCAATTCCACCTATTTGTTTGCATTGTGATAGTATGAGCACAATTGCAAAAATTAGGAGTACCAAGTATAATCAAAAGACTAGGAGACACATTCAAGTTAGACTAAAGACTATAAGGAAATTTGTGTCTCAAGGGGTGTTTGCTGTTGATTTTGTTGGATCCAAAGATAATACAGCGGACCCGTTAACAAAAGGACTTGATTTAAATCAAGTGATAAAATCCAGGTTAGGAATGGGACTGAAACCCAACAATTATTCAACTATGGTAGCAACCCAACCTATCTGAGTGGAGATCCCACAAAGTAGGTTCAATGTGGTATAAACAAACCGTAGAGTGAATTGTGCATCTCATTAACATATTTAATGAGTTCTATTCCTTGATAAGCCTGAGAGATGTTGAAATTGCTAAGTAAGTAAGAGTTTAAGAATGTGAATGGGATCGAGCTTTAATTAATAGCAGAGTGTTAGCAATGCACTCTTGGAGATGCCCAACTATGAGAATGTTATTGTGTGGCCGCAATAAGAGAATAGGGGTTAATTCTCGATGACATTCTTGAGACAGGATCGGGACGCACGGCCGTAAAGCGTCAACCCTATAGATCGTTGCCATTGCCATTAATGTGTTGCTTTTATTTTTCACCGCCACAACTAAGGTTCGAGTTCAAGAACTTTGTTCACTCAGTTCCTGTGGGGGTTAGGAGTAAAAGCTTAGAAGTTGGTTCAAACCGGAAGGTACCATATTTGAAAGCACATTATGTCTTTTAGAGTTGAGTCGACAACTATGCATTTGTGAGGGATTGTTGGAAATATGATGAAATATATTACTTTGAGGAGTTTTATTATTTATAACTCCTAAGATATAATTGTATAAATATGAATTGAAGAAGAAGGCTTATTATACATATATCAAAGAACAACTAACATGTTTGGATTATTTCATCAAATGAATAGAATCCATAGTTGCACAAGTTGTAAAGTGATATATTATAAAGTGAATTTAGTTGTCAGCATATAAAATAAACAGCCTCGTTTTATATATATAAATATTATGTGATAAGAAACATTATTGTTTTAGTATCACATATAACTTCAAATATTTTTCCAGACATACTCAAGTAACGTTTGGATGAATATAGACAGTTTGGAGGCGTTTATTTTTGGACACAAATTCTGCGGTTTAATAAACCTTGGCCTCTGTTATATTTCTTTAAATATAAACGAAGGATACGCAGTTTGGCTGGACCATATTAATTTGAAAAGTAATTTTCAAATCAGTTAAAGTGGCATCGGATAAAACAGATTTGAATTTTTGATTTTCAAATTGGTTTTTACTTGGTCATGATAGCTAGTAGGCTATCCGAATTGTGTGGCACGTGCCTGAGTTGTAGGAGCCAACTACGTACTTGCAATTCTAATTCTATATTATACAATATATAAAATGGATTCTGATTTCCAGTAGCAATTGGTCTCCGCATGCAATTCACGTACAATATACTCCGTAGTTTTGCGAAGCTTTATTCCTTTGCTTGAGATTTCCAGAACTATTCATCATTAAAAAGCTCTTTCATTCTTTTCTCTTCGTAAGAGCTGATTTCTTCTCCGAGAAGAAAAGAAATTTTCCATAGTTTATACTTCATTTCCCTTTTCCGACTCATCTCTTTCATCGGCAATTGGGCAACGGTCGAGGTGTTTCTGTCAAGCAAGCTAAAGGACCGAAACAGAGGTAGGATTATCCTGGGAGCGAGTTCTCCAGTCCCGTTCGAGTAGCTATCGAGATACGGGGGCTATCTTTCTTCAAGGCCAGTCCGGTTAACGGACGATCTTACGCTAAGTCTTCTTTTCTCTACTGTTTATATTAATTTTTTAATTTCTAATTATTGTTTCTATTTTATTTGTTCTTGCATTTGGTGGTTTGTCTGGTGATTTGTGATTAAACTCGGGATTTTATCTGTCTAAACTCGCATTATTTATACTATTTTTTTCTAACAATCTTGAAGAAAGATATTATATCTCGAGTTTTGAAAATCCAATATGACGAACTTGGAAAATGCTGCTACTTCTGAAAACGTTGTTGTTGTGAATAATGTGAATGAAACCCTTGAAAATAATGTTAATTCTGCGTTTGTGACTAATTCTGGAGACACACCTGAATTTGTTGCTACGGGCTCTCACAGGGTTGATTTAACCGGAATGCCTGAAAAATTTTCCGGGCATTTTTTCATGCGTTGGCAACAACGCATGAAAATTTGGTTAATCACCAAGGGATTGCTCTCGGTAATTATGACGGTGTGTCCCCCCCCCCCCCCCCCCCCCCGTTGTCGAGTCTGATCCCAAAAGTCTTGAACGCCAAACTTTATGGCGTGAGAGGAATGAAATAGCCAAAGGAATGATATTGTTGGGTCTCTCTGACATGTTATTTGATGTCTTTTAATAGTTTCCAAAAAAGAGACCATTAGTGTGTAACATTTAAAAAATGGTCCGTATGCCCCCTGCTGCCCTGCTAGTCAATACTCAATACACCACTCCGTATATATACGTATTAATCGTCATTCCTCCAGAGTTGTTTTTGTGGGATTCTATAATAGTGACTAAAATGAACAGTGACCAAACAAATCCGACCATGACCAATCCGACCATGACCAACCCGACCATGACCAATCCGACCATGACCAATGCGACCATGACCAAATCC